TGTCATTTTCAGTTTATTTGTGTGTGCGCTGTGATACTGCTCGGGTGCCCAGACCGAAGCAGGTGGTTTTCTTGGGGGGCCACACCCCGAGCCTTCGACCCGAAAGTCTGACCGATAAGGCAGTGGAGCATCGTGAGGAGATGCAGTCCCATGGTAGCCGATGACCAACACTTTGTCCGTACGCCATTTGTTCCCCCAGGATACTGGAGCCCATATGCACCAATGGTTTGGAACCCGGTTAAAGCGCTGGACAGTCCCCTTTCGTCCTCTCATTTTCGTAAACAACACCCCCTCCACAAGAAGGCAGTGAGTAGGACTTCCCTGGCAGAGGCTGTATACGCGTGTTCGTGTGAGAGCATTTCGAGAGGGAGTGTGGGACCACCCCACTCTCGGCCATATCAGGGCATTTGGGGGGGGGTAAAACTACGTGAAAGAAAACTGAATAATAGGTCCGTAACAAATTAACAGTAATTTATGGAAAGTACAACATGAAAGATTAGTTTATGCACTCAGCAAAGACTGACTAACGGGAGAATATGAGAAAAAAATAACTTAAGTGCCCAATAATTATACAATAAGAATATAAACTAACCCTTCGTACGACAATCCCAAAGGTTACAACTTTCGCTATAGCCGCTCAATTGTAACAGTTGACGCTTCAAAACTGACCTGAAACTCAATTACGTAATATGAATCTAGCTCTAACAATGAACTAATTCTATCACTGATTCCCGGAAAATTTACTCAGGATAATGTAAGTACTCATATCCTGGTTTGTGGACATTCAAGTGTACTCATAAATAATATTCCTACTAGATTTGTGTTATGAAGTTCTCATTCTCATACATTTGCTACTTGGAATCTTAAAACAAAAACTCGCACAATAGCCATATAATTCAGTCCCCAGCACACAGTAGATGACAGTAACAACAGGATATGTTAAGAGACAACTGAATAAAATACCACTCTTACAATGTTATTATAAGTAGCATTCGTCAAAGAATGATCTCAGTTTGGATACCATGAACACCAGGGGTGTTCTAACCTCGTATGAAACTCACCAGCAGTGGATATATACACACCTCCCCAGGAGTCCAATTCAAGACCTGAAAGTTTCCCAGAGAGCCTTTAATTACAAGAGCACTAGGTTGGTATCCAATGGTACACACTTCCAATTCTAATCAATTAGTGATATTATCAGACGGCCATTCACTAGTGACGTTTTTGCCCCCGTCACTTCTGAAATCCACTGATCCTGACTAGTGAATCGAAAATAAGGCTCGGCATAAAACCTTATACGACTACTTCCAGATATTATCAAGACTGATACCTTTAAGATAACGTAATCACATTCATCGTCGTACTGAAATATGAACGTTTCCGTTGAACAAAAAGATCGGATCGAGTAGTTATTCGGTTTTATGTTGGAGTTTAGTAGTAACAAACTCAAAGAAACAATCCAGATCTTTAACTTCTTTCCAAAAGTAATAAGATAGATATATTCTCGGAAGCTTTTTGAGTTGTCACTGATAATTATGTATAGATTCATACCATGATATCCTCATTGTAATTCGTGCCGCCTGTTTTTTCGGTGACCTACTTGCTAATATTTTCTTATTTAGCGTAATACGAAATCCTTTATGCAAACTTGGAGCAAAGCCTCTTTACTTTGTATTTGTAGGATTGATTGCTTTCAAAACGCAAGAACCATCATTACTTGAGACAAGTTATTCAAAACCACATACTATCTACTAAATGATTCATTTACGTCAACGAGGTAATTATTAGCTACTTAGATCACTTCAAGCGATGTCTGGACGTTAAGTGACTGAACCGTACGGATACTGATCCAACAAATGCTTGTTTACACCTAATTGTATTAATCTTTACATTTCATTGCTTTTCGGTATAAATCAGTGGATTGGTGTATGAGGTAAGTATATCGTCCTTGCGTTTATATAGCAATCTCTGAATCAACTAAGCGATTTGACGGCACCACTTGTATTTGCTTCCGAATTTTAAAGACATTTCGAGAGAATGGGTAGTTTGACCATGTCCTCATGATCAACTTGCCACACATACTTAAACAATTTTAAGACCTATGTTTAGCGGAGATTGCTACAATGTGTAGGGGGATTAAACCCAAAACAACCTCAGATGAGATACCGTTAGAATTCAAGAAACACTAGATAGCCGCTTCGTCCTAGTATAGGACTCCTCGAGTGTCGCTTATGACCGTCTCTCCAGTGACTGTATCCAAGATCTACAGGCCTCGAGGCGAACGCCTAAACATTCGATTAATGAAACAAATTCTCAGTTCTAATCATTCGGTGATATAAACCGACGATCATCTAATGTCATTGATAATGACTGTATCACTCCATGTCTGGATTCTACTGGCTATTTCTTGCTAAAACTTAAAGCATTCATCTAGAAGTTACAAGAGTTGTTGGGTTACACTCTTGATTTTAATTTATGTGGTCTAGTTCATCCACCATTAACTACATCTGTAGAAGACGCGTCATGTTTTACATTTCTGAATGTAATGAAGTCCAACTTAATTACTATGTACTTCGCACCACATTCCTGTTACCTTCACTAACGACTTTTATGCATGTCATAGTTTTTGTACACGACCAAACAGTCTTATTTACTAAAAAATCCAAATATACTGGTCTGTACACCCATATGTGACTGTGTTTTTACCTGGTGTTAATCACTAGATATCGTCTATGTAGGTTCCAGGAACAAATGAGGTCACACTTAAGTAGTTCTGAAATCAAGGTTGACCCGGATGTTGCTTGGGAAGCTATACAAACAGCTGTGGAAACAGCAGTGAAATCTATTAGTGACTTAAACCACAGAGTTACAAAGAACCAGTGGATTCCTTCAAAGTCTATCACACTGATGGATTCTCGTAAACTCATCCCATCAGGCTCTGAACACGATGAAGAGCGAAAACAAATCTGATCTAGGTTAAGCAAAAGTCTAAGGAACGACCGTGAGCAGTGGTGGGCAACGAAAGCAAAACAGATGGAAAAGGCGGCGGCTATAGAGAATACAAGACAGCTCTACAGACCAATAAAAGAAACTGGAATTAATAAGTCAAGTGTAAGTCAGGCTATTTCGGAAAAAGATGACCCTCATCTGCTCTCAGTCCAGACGTTTAGAACGATGGGCGGAACATTTCAGAGAACAGTTCGGTTGGCGTTCAGCTACTCTGCAACTACCCACCATTCCCAGACAGTGTGAATGGAACATTGAAGTAGGTCCTCCAACTCTAGCAAAAGTTCAAAAGGCTATAGTTAATCTGAAACGAGGAAGGGCAGCTGGTCCATATGGATTGGCTCCAGAGGTCTTTAAGGATGGTGGTCCAATTTTAGCGATTAGGTTTACTAATATTTTAGCTAAAATCTGGGAGTTGGACGAAATCCCATCTGACTGGTCACAATCACTTATCGTCCCAATATATAAGAGAGGGTTAAAATCATCCTGTGACAACCATAGAGGGATTAGTTTAACTAATATAGTATCTAAAATACTAGCCTCGATAATTATCGGACGCCTAACTAAGACTCGTGAACTGCAAACACGAGAAAATCAAGTTGACTTCAGACCTGGTAGTGGCTGCATCGACCACATATTCACCATTCGTCAGGTTCTAGAACACAGGCATACTTATCGGCATCCGACAATGGTGGTCTTTCTTGACTTAAAAGCAGCATTTGATTCCGTAGACCGCGAGATCCTATGACAGTGTCTGTCATTGAGAGGCGTGCCTCAGAAGTACATAAACCTTGTGAAGGCTCTTTACTCGAACACTACTAGTCGAGTCAGAGCTTATGGCGAACTGTCATCTGTTTTTGCATCCTCAAGTGGTGTTCGTCAATGCTGTCTACATCCTCCATTTTTGTTTAACTTCATCATAGACCTACTGATGGAAATAACATTCTCGTCGACTGAATTCTCGGGTATTGATCTCCTTCCAGGAGGTCCACTTATCGACTTAGAATACTCAGATGACATAGTCCTGTTTGGTGAAGACGCTGATAAAATGCAGTCTTCTGGTAGCACCTAGCAACAATGCCAGAATGTTTGAAATGCGCTTCTCTCCCTCTAAATGCAAGTTGTTGTTTCAGGACTGGTCTGCGTCAACACCTGAACTAAGGATAGGGAGTGAAGTAGTCGAACGCGTTGACAACTTCACTTATCTTGGACGTCTGATCAACTCCAATAGGTTGGTATCTGACGAAATCTCAGCACGGATTCGAAAAGCTCGCTTAGCTTTTGCCAACTTACGTCACCTATGGCGAAGGCGAGATATCCGTCTATCAATAAAAGGACGAGTATACTGCGTAGCAGTCCGTTTTGTTTTACTTTACGGCTGCGAAACATGGCCTTTAAGAGTACAAGACACCCGTAAGCTACTGGTATTTGACCACAGATGCCTTAGAAATATTGCTGGCATCTGTTGGGATCACCGGGTAAGTAATAGTGAGGTTAGACGCAGGGCATTAGGTAATGATGGTAAATCAGTTGATGAGGTTGTTAATCTTCATCGACTGAGATGGTTGGGCCACGTGTTACGTATGCCTGAACACCGATTACCACGTCGTGCAATGCTAACGGGTGTTAGAGATGGTTGGGAGAGAATTAGAGGCGGCCAAACCAAAACGTGGCATCAGTGCCTGAAGACACCAACTTCTAGTCTGAGCCATGTTGGTAGATGCAGATTACTTGCTTGGGGTCCGCGTGACTTTCGTAACCAATGATTGGAGATTCTTGGTGGCATGGCTCAGAATCGATCACAATGGCGTAGGCGTATACACTCCCTGTCTTCCCTTAAGCTAAGAGACTAAAATCACTTCATATCTTTATTTTTACTAACTAATTCTTTCTTGCTGTACTGTATCCTTATATCCAATCTTCCTCCTATATATTACCACCTTTGACCTAACCACTCCTATGAATCCGGTGTTCATCTTGCTGTGCTAATGCGGTATGGCAACCTGGACCGATGCATACATGTGCCTGGTCATACGTTGTAGCTGACTGACTAGATATCGTCGAGTCATATCATGAAGCCGAAAAAAACATCTGCCACTGGATGCCAGTTAAGTGAATTAGTGTTCAAAGCCTCTCAAAGAGACTTGTAGGTCCTAAATTTGATGCCTGAGTGGGTTATGAGTCTCTACTTTTAAGGATGAAACCAGAACAAAACAGTTAATCAGTTCTTTATGGTCTTTAATGGTAGCACAACCTAAGTCAATCTGTGACGAATACCACTCAAAAACCAAACAAATCCTCAATAACCACCTTTACTAAACATAAGTCGAAATAATGGTTAGTGTATAATCCGGATATTTTATTTTCTAAATAGTTGTCAATTTCCTATAAATAAAACATGAGATTTCTTAGATTTATCTGCAGAAACTTTAATGTAAATAAAAAATGCATTTTGTTTTGTTTTACAAGTAGAAACGTCATAATAAGAACCAACTGATGGTTCGGGGTGTACCATAAACTGATACTACAGTAATTAAACACGAACACAAGTTAGGAAGTAAAGCACCGATGCAACAGAAGGGGAGAACTTAAACAGCTTAGGCAGTACTATGCCCATGCAATCTACGCCTTATAATCATGACTATAATCATACCGAAATATCGACAACCAATTTAAACATAAATGTGGGATTGTCTGGCATGTTTAATGATTAGAAGTAATTTTGAGGCTTTGCAGCCTATGTAATTGGATCCAAGCTTATTTTAACGAGGTACAAGGGAGCTGCTTAACTCGACCTGGGAGATCTGCAAATAGTCAAATTAGTAACTAAAAACAAGGTATTTGGTTATGCGATGAAAAAAAAAATACGAAGACCAATATTTTTACCTGCAAAAACAATCTATATAAATAAGACTATTAAATGCTTTACTTATGCCTACTTATAGTTCAAACTAGAATGATGAACAGAGCATAAAGAATGTTTCGTCCTTCTTCATGAATGCATCGAAGTTAGTCAGTTATGACGGACACAGAGCTTGGTACAAATCCCAGTGGGTCCACGTCTCATGACCAAATCAGCACGGCAAAGTGAAAATCACGAAATAGTGAAAAACCCCAAATAATGGTATTATCACTGATAATGAGGAGAGCTAAATACTAAAGAATATAGTTTTAAAAGGGATGATGCTGATAGACAAAAAGTACGAGAAGACATGAACGCGAGGAGTAAATACATCTACGCAATCAAAATTTATTCTCAGTCAGTCAGTAACAACGCAGAACTTCGTACGTACGTACATCAGTTCGAGTTGCCATACTGCATTAGCACACAGATACAATTGTCGATTCAAATCCCGTAGTGGTAAAGGTAGTAAGCGTATAAGCAGTAATTCTAAGCCATGTTACACATTATCTTTGACAAGTGATGGCAGTTGTTTTGAGAACTTAAATAAGATAGTCTGAATTTACTAACACGGTTGTTTGGCAACCGATGTTTTCATAGTCTAATGTTATATGCTACATGAATCACGGTGTCACAAAACAACGTATCAGGGGTACGACTCTAACTTCGTCAATTAACGATGTCCGTTAAGATACAAAAATAAAAAAACACTGTTTTTAGGTCATGTTGTGAATAGCGAAAGAATTTCTAGTGAGTTCAATTTTCATGGTAAAATCTTAATGCTCAAAGATAAGGGTCCCCCATTCTTTTTGAAGGCCGATAAGACTACACTGGAAACTCGGTCGGACAGCCAGTTAGCCCATTAGGTTTTCGACATTTCCATTTCAGAACTTTGGATAATCGAACTGTAGCCAAGATTATATTGTCGATATGGCTGAAAAGCAGACTACGACAATGGGCTGAGAATTTCTTGTTCTATGCAACATCTTAGAAGCTTTACGATGAATTGTCTTTTGTAAGTTGAATGAGAAAACCCTGTGTACATATGTATCTATCAGACTACTTTGAGAGCTAAATTCATTTATTGTTGAACAGTACGGGAAGCAGACAAGATTTTACTAGTCACAAATTGAGGACGTAGACCTACACTAATAAAACAAACTGTCATTCATAAATATCACTGGAAATGAACATGGAAAGTCAATTGTCATCAGAAGTCAGGGTCTTTAAATGCGCTGTACGGCAGAGTGGCCATTGGCTCCATTTTCTTTACCTCTCGAACTTTTTTCATCATAACAGCTCTTTTTTTCTATGAAGAGGAATTACTATAAATAAAAAACAACTTACAGCTTTATCATGGTTCTGACATTCAAGCAAATCTTCCCAGTATATTTTGCAATGCTTGTCTGTATTTTGAAGGCCAACTCTTGCAACACAGCTTTAAGATCTGAGAAAAGTGTTCGAGATATAATTACCGGAAGAAGTCACGCTCCATGATTTGGCAAAATCTTGAACTAAAAACATTCTGCATCGTAAACCATGATGTGCCCATCTGTAAGGCGGGGAAATCTAGGAAAGGGCGGTGGAGAAAGTTCCCTCCAGATGCGTAAGTTAGAGGGAACCCATGTCCTAGAACAACATTTTCACGAAGATCACGATTAGTACTAACCAGTCTCGTAAGGTTTCTCAGTTCCCAAAATTTTTCCCACAAAGTTATGAAATGGCTGAGAAATGTCTGGTGTAAAGGGTATATCTCTGTTCCTTTTCTCTCTGGCTTCATTATTCAGGCGATCAAGTCTTTCCTGATCTGTTATGACAAACGCCTCATCCGCCATCAACTAGCAAGAACGGTAACCGGCCTCCAAACCTGATAGCGAATTAACCTCCACAACCTTGAAGGGCTTGACTAACGACGGGGATCCTGTATTTGGAGTGCTTGAGGTCTGTAGTAGTATCGGGCCCTAACCACATAATCCTCAAAGCTGGGGAAATAGATATTCAGCATTTAACGTGGAGAAAAATCCAACGGTGGTGAAGGCGGGAAGAATGAGTCCAATTAATTTGAATTAGTCAGATGGCATGGCTCGGCCTTGCAGGCGTGATCACTCTTGAGTGTTGTCATATATCCTTTATTCATATTAAATATATTGTTCCATCTCTAGCCTGAGTTTTTTCTCCACCATATATTGGTGATGGAGAATATACAGTTTTAGGATTAGGTCTATTACTAGAGCAGTACTAATATCGGAGTAGACCATAATTCAACAGGTCTGATGTGTGTGTATGCTAAAATGGTTCGCAGGTGTTGGTATGTTTATGTAGTCGGTTAATGTCTGAAGACTACAAAGGTGGTCGCTAACAACTTAAGCTAAGTATTCTGTCTATTTAAGTGTAAATAGCCTGGTTGCTGCTGTGTTGTATTTTCTAGAAACCATAGACTGAACGGTTTTGTTTTAGGGTCTATGATAACAAGTTACGTAAAGAATGTGAGTGTGAGAAGCCCCACATGCTTCTAGAGACTGACAATTTGTGCAACACAGCGTTTTATTCGAGGTTAGAGTACACGTCTGACAATCAGTGAGTTTGGGACATTCGTCGTCTTGCATGAGTGTTGATAGCACATTCTGAATTACAGTTAACGAATTTGTTCCCCAATAATCAATGGCCTGTTCTTGTTCTCTACTAACGCAGTCCCATATGTTGTGCTTCCTGCCTCTCTGCTTTGTGGTCTGAGTTATCCGCTAATAAAACTGTAGTCGCTGATTCTCCTTGCCTTCTGATTTCAAACACCGTTGAGGATTATATGGTAACGGGCACGAGAGTGATTGGTCAACTAAGTACAACCACTACAGAACTGGTAACCCCGACGTGCGGCCAGGAAACGGCTTTCGACAATATAGTCAAATTCCGAAAATCCAACGTACATCGCCTCGATCAGGATTATCACATGGACTATAATCATAACTAAGGATTTATTATATTACTATTTTAATTACACGTACATTATTTCACAAACATTGCTGGACGTGACGATAATAATCACAGTAAACAACGATTATTCACAAACAGTTGATATATTGGTGCAATTTAGTAAGTCTGTTCTATGTTATAAATTGTGCCATTTGTTATTATCATTGTTTTTGTCCGTCCATTTTTCTTTGTGACTATTACATTATATTCGTGTGCTAATTAATTTTTTTTGTAAACACGTCCTCCGAAAACACTGTCGAGTTTACAGCAAACCCCGTCCGTGAGGTCTATTAATCTTCCTACCCACTCTTTTAAAGTCACCGACCCAAAGCTTTGGTTTATTAGACTTGAAAGTTATCTTCTGGCTAACCGCATTTACTCACGAAGAGATAAATCCGGCCACACAAACACACTCCTTTCAGATGAAGTAGCAGATAGCGTACGAGAGGCGCCAGCTAAACCGGACACTGAAGAGACATACGACATGCTAAAGCAAGCAGCAATCACAACTCTCTCTCTAAGTAGTCAACAAGCTGTTGAACAGCTTCTTAACCGAGTACAAATGGGGGATAGAACTTCGTCACAGCTAAAAACGTGTATGAAAAGTCTGCTGGGCGATAGGTGAACAGACAATAACTTGTTTTATCAACTGTGGCTTCTCCTACTTCCGCCAAATGTACAACAGATTCTAGCCGTCGGAGATACGGACGCCGATATAGACAACATAGCAAAAATAGCCGATAAAATATACGAAAGAACCAAGCGAACAAGCCCTACGTTACCCAGAGTGACGATAGATGATAGAATTAGTGCTCTACAGAAGGAGGTAAATGTTTTGTGCCGCAAGTTCATAGAATTAACACAGAGCAAAAGGCCACGAAGATTGCCACGAGATCGCTCGCGCGACAGAAACCGATCAGTTTCTAGACGCCGCTCAACTCCCTTGATATGCTGGTATCATCAAATGTACGGCTATAGAGCTAGGAAGTGTCTACAACTTTGTAGATTTAGCATAACAGGTAAGCGATACCCACGATTGTCCATGGCGACGAACATAGTGCCAGCAAATAGTCTCCTGTTTTATGTACAAGACCGAACGACAGGTGCGCAATTCCTAGTCGATACTGGAGCGGAAATCAGCGTAGTACCTCCAGTAAGCGAGGAGAGAAGAAACTTTAATGATTCACTAGAACTAAGAGCAGCGAACAAGTCGGATGTCAAGACATAAGGCAAACGAAAGTTGTCCTTAGACTTCGGACGAGGAGCTTCGTACCGCTGGGACTTTGTCATAGCAGATGTATCAGTGCCCATAATAGACATCGATTTCCTATATAACTTCGATCTGCTAGTAGACTCGCGTTGTCACATACTTATAAATGGTAGTCACACCACTTCGATAAGAGGAACACTCACGGAAGCCGTTTCCATGAATCTATTGAAACATAAAAGCCGCGGTGATCCATATAAATTGTAGTTAAAGGAATTTCCCGAACTCGTGAAAGTAACATACAGTAAGGTCGATCTCAAACATTCCATTAAGCACCATATCATAATGAATGGGCCAACAACTAATGCAAGACCAAGAAGATTAGACCCAAAAAGTGTTGAGTCGGCTTTCGGAGAACTTCAACGGAGCCTCCAGAGGCCCAAAAGGAGCCGAAGAGTCCTAGCCAATCAGGGCATGATGGAGCATTGTAGAATCCCAACGTGGAGTGCTACTATTGGACAGTAGTATAATGTGTCGTTAACGGATTGGCCGAAATATGATGTCGATTTAACAAACGTTAACATCGATAAATACCCATGTTTTCTGCACAAAAAGGAACCTTGGAGTAAAGTATTTCTCTCATACTTTGCGTCTTTTCTCTGGCGTTCAGGTCGCTGTGTAGCTCTAGCTTGCGGGTTACCAGAATAGCTTAGGAAACGAATATGGCGTTCAATTCTCAAGACCTATGAAAAAGACTAGCACTTGCAAAGCAGGAATTCGACAAGTTGATGAGGCTGGGCATTGTAAGGTCTTCTAACAGCTCGTGGGCATCCCCAATACATATGGCCTCGAAAAAGAATGGAGAAGTTAGGCCATGGGGAGACCAACGAGCACTCAACAATCGAACGGTAGGCGTTAGATATCCTATACCACACACCCACGATTTTACCTACAGTATAGAAGGCGCTACCGTCTTCTCGAAGATCAACGTAGTTAGAGCATACTATCACATTCCTGTTGCTCCACAAGACATACCAAAGACAGAGGTAACGACGCCATTTGGGCTGTATAAATTTCTACACATGCCTTTCGGGCTGAATAACGCAGCGCAAACCTTTCAACGGTTTATTGACCAGGTCATCAGAGGTTTAAATGGACTATAGGCATATATCGATGATTTAATAGTGTCCAGAGCCACTATAGATGAGCATATACAACAGCTACGACAAGTATTCACACGAGAACACGGCATTACCATAAACGTTGAGAAGTGCGAATTCGGAAAGAAATCCTTACAGTTCCCAGGTCACATTGTAACTTCTCAAGGCATTACATCAATCGCAGTAGAAGTCGATGCCATCAGAGATTATCCGCTACCCGGCTCATGGAAGAAGTTACGACGATTTTTCGGGTTAGTAAATTATTACACACGATTTATCCCGAATTGTCCGGCAATACTGCAACCATTAACGGACGCGTTACGGGGACATGCCCGGACATTCCACTTATCAGCAGAGGCGATACAAGCATTCGAGCACGCCAAAAAAGCACTAAACAAAGAAACGACACTAGCTAGACGAAAGAGCGAAACACCACTAGCTATCATGACTGATGGATCGAATGTGGCGGTAGGAGCCGTATTACAATAGTTAGTAAACGACACATGGGAACCGCTTTCATTTTTTTCGAAGAGACTCAATCCTAGACAAACAAGATATAGTACTTTCGGAAGATAACTGCTAGCAATTTACTTAGTAGTAAAACACGAAAGCATTAAACGCAAAGATAATTGTTCCCCAAGGGAGATCAGACAATTGGAATCCATTTCTAGGTCACGTCTTATATACGATACATTAAAGGCCGAGAACAACGATAAACGTGCTTTTTAAAAGTGGAATCGATCATAACGGTCTGGCAAAGTCGCAAGAGAGAGACATTGAATTAAATCACCTAAGATCCGATGACACGACATCATTAGCATTCGAAGATGTTCAGTTCGGTAGCACTAAAGTAATATGTGATATATCGACACGCCAACAGCGACCATTCATCCCGAAATCATTACGACATAAAATATTTGAAAGTGTGCACAACATATCGTATGGATAACAATTCTTTTCCTAAATTCCGGGCATTTGTAAACAGAGTGGTCGTCGGAACACAAACTCTACTTAGTTTTCACAGTCAAGCCGTTTCAATGTCCCGATTGCAAGTGACAGTTCATCTTTTCATTATGTCCCTTATTCTAACGATTCGCCGACTGTCCAAATCTACTACTGGCTACTCTGGAACAGGATGTTATGAACTTAGTGAGCTCAGCAAACGTCGGCTCTCTATTGTCTTTAGTCAATCTATCCACCATTTCCGACCACTACGCTTGCATAGGTTGAGGCAAAAGACTCACTGTTCTTTTTAAAGTAACTAAAGAATTTAGATCAGAAGTATAATTCATCTGTTCCAAGACCGTAGCACAATTTTCTATTTTAATAGCCAAGTTCGATAGTTGCTCCGCGTCATTATAATCAAGATTTACAGTTTTGAATAAGTCTTCTAAAGTTCCTCGAGCGATTATATGCGACTGTCCGAACAAACGTTTTAGAATTTCTCTGGCCCTCTTATAACCAGCAGAAGCTTGCATCATGACGCAAGCCTCAATGGCTGTTTTTGCCTTGCCTTTACAATAGTGTATCAAATAAAGCAAACGTTGGGTATCATTAATGACTCTTGATGCTACGTAGTCCTCAAACTGCCTTTAAACTTCCAGTATCCTCTTGGCTGTCCATAGAACTAACTCAATTCAACCTTTGGTAGTTCTTGACCTACAACAGGTGCCATGTGCATTACGCTCTTTTCTGATACTTCAAGCCTTTGCAGCTAATCTAAACTAAGATTTTTTACGTCATCTGACATCGAATTAGGACTAAAATCACTATAATGATAATCATCTATATTTGAGTCTGGACCAT